TTTACAGCTCGCCCTGCCATCAGCTCTGAGTACACAAGTACAAGGTTACTTCACAGAGCACTGTGCAGAACCTTGGGAAGCCAGCAGACCGCGTAGCACTGCACTCACAAGAGAACCAACTGCAACTTGAGGCAAGTTGAAACTCAAAACACTGTGGTTTTGTTTCCCCCCCTATGAGATAAAATGTCTTCAACCTGAATTCAGCATCATGTTAATTTATGCTGAAGAAACGTCACACAAGTTTATATTTAGGAAACAAATACTGGACACTGTTCTCTTGTGAATTTCTCTGTTATTTTCAGTGCCAAAAAGTGGGACAAGCTGATGATGCTGCTACAGAAAAAAAGCATGTTTGATTGCGCTGTAGCAAAACCTGTAACAAGTCCTTCTCTTCTAAAGAGCCTCCTCCTCCACTGTTCTTGCAGATGTCAATGGAAAGCATTTCCAAAGACTGAGGGGATATGGTCCTAAGATGTAGCATGTCTTCCTTCAGCTAGGAAAAAGAGAAATGCATACTAAAATGACTTTTAAGCTTGGAGGAGTGGAATGTGAATCTCAAGATACAGCATTCTTCAAAAATGAGACAATCTTCCATGGCACAGGTGAGCTGGAAGATCCCATAGCAGCATGTCCACATTGCCAGGTATGCAGTATTCTCTTGGTAGGATCGCAGCTGCACATGCAAATTTAGCAGATACAAGACTGCAATACCAAATCTGCACATAAATATTCTCTTTCAATGGGACAAAGCAGCAACGTTCACAAAGATGACATGGCCTTCATCACAACCAGCATGAGCTTTGTTGCTGTTTACTACTTAGAGATAAGTAATAGTGCCAAGTTCCCTGGGTTTGGGTTGAACACAAGAAATGCAGCAAATTTCTGAAGCCCTTAAATGGAAAAGGCCATAAACACACATCTCAGCTATTAGACACTAGCCATCCATAAACAGCAACACAAAGATCCATGGTTCTGAAAAAAGAAGAAAAAGATATTTTCCACATTTGCTGACATTTTAGTCTGCTGGAAGTCCCCAGACTCTCAGCAAAGACTTAATTAAAAAGCCAGTGCTGCTTCTAGTGTTAGGAGCTAGGATTAATACATAAATCTGGAAACTAAGCTGTAAAACCTCATTTACATCATAAAGGGGGAGAAGAAGGGGAAGAAACAGGTCACAAGAATCCACCCACACCTTCGTACCTTACCTACATTTTCCACTTCAATATACTGCATTACACTTACCCTTGAATACAAAAATTAAATTGATTACAAATTCTTCCAGAATAAACCACAAATCTGTGGTGTGCTTCAAGTTTTTCTTTTCCCTCCCCCATCACTGAACTCACAATGTCTAAAGTATACGTTGAAAGAAAATTCACTTAACTGCTTCCGAAGGAAAATGGCATTAGGGAGATACCGATTTAAAAGAGACAGGACAACCAGTGCCCCGTGCTGACAGTAGCGTGGCTCTCTTGGCATTGTATAGAGGACAGCTGCACACAGCTCAAATCATAGCCTCCTCCACTAAGAGCTTCAGAACTCAAATTGCTACTCAACACACGTAGGTATGTTACAAGCTCAAAAAACCTCACATTTCAGGACAGCGTCGAGTCTATTCTTCCCCTCTGGCAAGCAGCATGTCAGCATGTTTATGGCAGACCTGAGTATGGGAATTATTTCATACCCTTACTTACTTAGGGAAGATACAGGTCAGATGACTGAAATACTCTGAAACAGCACAGACTTGGCAATTTTAATATATTTACAGGCAAAGAAGCATATCGCACCAAAATATAAGTTATTGCTTCTTGTGGACAAGTGCGGTATTCCTTGATTGAGACACAAGACTTGTTTGATGTTCATTTTTCCCTCCTGAAGCACAACGATTCAGGACCACTGTGAGGTTGTTGTTAAAATGAAGGTGTTGCCTACAATGAGCAATGAGCATCTCCAACTGACTGACACAGCTGGTGAGAGAACACTTACAAAGGTGAATTTCCACAGGCATTTTCACAGTCAAACACTGACCTCATGCTTCCACATCATTCTTGGCTTGGTCTATATTACACATTTTGATAGAAGAAAACCTTTCATAGGCTTTCAGAAGATATTTACAGATACCAAGAATGCAAAACCAGCATCTAAGGTTGTCCCCCGTATCAGTTCCTCAAACAATATGAAGTAGTGCAGCTCTACTGTGCTGATGGAAGCAGGAGCAGACTCCTTCCCAGCAAAACCACGCTGGTGGCATGCTTTTCAAACACTGACCCTCAGCATAGGACAGCAGTTCTAACTATTGGGTCTTTAAGCAATCTATTTGCATCTGAAAGCAGAAAATACAGGTGCTCAAAATGGCAATAAATGAACTAGAGGTACGAACTACCAAAATCAAGCTTAAGTTGTAAACAAATTTATGTTTAGAATATCTATCTACTTAATTCCCAAGCCAAAGACCATCTACGACCTTGGAGCACAGAACACCCAAACACTAACCTACCCGCGTTACACATCACGTTTCTGCAGGCATGAAGCCAACAGCAAACACCAAATCAATGCAAATGCAACATCTTCAATTTCAGAAGACAGTAGGAATTTAGAACACTGGAAAAGTGGGCCTGCAGGCAACACCACTGTGAGTGTTACAGGTGCTGTAATTCTTCCTACTCCCCACCCCCTGTGACAATACAAGGCAACACAACATTTCTTGGCTAAAAAGGAAATCGTGCAGGGAACTACTGTACATGTGATATGACTTCAGAATTAAAGCGTGACAAAATGGTTCTGCTTCCACTGAAAAAGAGAACACAGCAGGGCCCCATAGTTACAGGTTCAGCTGAAACTGGTGATGGAAGCCCAAAAACGTAGAAACAGCATCATCAACTAAGAAAACTACCTAGTTTGGACTCTTTTTCTTTCTTTCTGCAGCATAACAATGGCATTTTACAGTGCAAAATTCAGGGAAAACTGTTACCCAGGAAATAATTGCTCTGCAAGCAAGACATGGGAGTCTACTAACATGTACTGCACTTGTTCTCCCATATAGCAGCTCCTGTCCTTTGCCCTTTTTGATATGAATCACAGTAACAACAGAAACATGTATGAAACAAAAACCAAAAGAGCAGAATTATGTATGTACAAGAAAAAAGTTTGAACTGTGCAGTTTATTTTCACTATTGAAACCCACTAAAACTGCTGTCACAAATAAATATTCATGAACTCTTCCCTGCACTGTGAAATTCAGATACTGCTATGATTGATTCTGGATATAAAAGTTATCCTTCTAAGCCCTGATATCTCTTCCAGTTTGTCTTTTTTTTTTCTCCTTCCCCTTTCTCTTTTTGGAACTGCGATACTTTATGGAAACTAATACTCATCCACAAGGTTTCCTTGCTGTGCCCCCTGCAGACAGCTGGAGATCCACGGAGCCTTGGTTATACCAGTATAATACAGTAAAATCATAATAAATTAAACAAATGCAGGTGCCTTTTTAAAAAAGAAAACAAACCACACTGTCAAATGTTAGCCTCCACATGAAGAGACCAATTATTTAGATTGCAAAGTACTACAAATCCTGCCATCAAATTAAAACAAATTCAAACAAGGAAACAAAGAAAAACTTGCACATTAAAAATTGTGTTTTAAAAGTCAAACACAAATCCCACCTGGATGTTATCTCACCCATGCTCACTAATAAAAACCCTCTTGCTGTGCCCACATTTGCAGTTATTCATTTCCACCTCAGGAGGCAGCCTGGAGATGAGAGTAGTACAATAAAATAATTACCTGAAACATTTTTAAAAAAATACCCGTTAAACAAATTACCTTAACTGGCAGCACTTAAAATTGGTAATTCTTCTTTTTTTTTCCTACTAAAAAAAAGTTGCATAGCTGTAAGATTTTGCTTTGCTGCTTTTTTTGTTTGTTTGTTTTTACTCACAAGCAGTGTAAGAGAAGTTTTAGTTACTGCAATAGCAATACAATGTGCAGATTTCAACAATTCCTATAGCTTGGATCAATATAAATTAGTTACCTGTCTCAGATTTACTCTTTGGACTGCATTGTGACAAAGGTTTAATTAGAAAATTTTGACGTATTCCTGTGCAGAGAAGTTTATGTTTTCCGTTCTTGTAAAAGTGAAGAACATAAAATAGGGTGTGAATTCAGGAAATAAGGTCACGCTGTTAGATTACACTTAAATTTGCCATTTACTCTTCTTCAGCCAACAAGAAGGTGAACATGTTCCCACTCAAAAATGGGGCCACCCTCCTGCCAGGGTCTCAGACAGCACGTATCGAACGTCTCAGCTTCCACTTGAAGCAGTAGGAAACGTGTCCAATAACCCGCTTCTTCACAGAACCAGAAGTTAGGCTGAAATTAGGAACTTTGGCCTTCCATACAAAATAGTGTCAATAGCGTCTGTTAGGGGGAGTAGATTGTTACAGAATGTGCAGCATTTTCAAAATCCCTGTGTGTCCTTTGCATGAGTGTTTGGTATACTGAGCACTACTGGCAAGTAAGTGGTGTCCACAATGCTTTTTCCATGTCAACGTCCATCTTTGCCTTTTTCAGCCACAAAGAACAGTTACTCTCAGGCCAGGCATGCTGTGTTCAGCAAGGGAACCTCAGATCTCCTATGTTTTCTGACCAGTGGAAGCAGCTGTTAAGAAAGCAGAAGGCAAAGTATCAGCATTTCAGCTACTTAAGTGTCTAACACACAGAAACATCACAAACACGAGCACTTTCATTTCCCCTTTTCCCTTGGCCCTCAATTATCACCATCACCACTGTGAGGAAAAAAAGAAAGCAAATTGGGTTTAACACAAGGTTAGACACTTATGAGCGTTTACAGACACAAATGTGTTTACAGACAGCACGTGGATTTCTTCCACAATTCAGCTGTTGGGGGCAATTCAGAACATGGGTTGCTTTGTTTAGTAATTCTAGCTCATACCACCCTGCCTTTTAAATGATCATCCCTATAACAGGATACCCTCCCTCAGGTTTTCTCTGCGACCCATTCAGCGATCCAAGCCAAGCGAAACAAATGAACGCCAACGGTGATGTCTTCAGATTATGATGATGATTCTCACCTTTAGCAAAACAACCATTTTTTGTATCAATTTTCACCTACTGATCAGAATTTCAGTTACAGTGTGGAATACTGGTAGCCAAACATCATAAGCCATGACACCATTCCTTTAAGTTGGTGTCTTGCAATGCTTGGGAGCAATAGCTCAGTGCGAGGCAAAGATTTAGAACTAGCCAACTAAAGGAATAATCTTATTCTTTAAGCCTTTGACACTGACTGCAGATCTGAAATAACAACAACTACAAGCTGGAAATAATGAATCTCTGTGGGATAGGATGGATAGAAATGTTAATTTTTTTTTTTTTTTAACATTCTGGAACGCATTAAGATGAAAGTGATTTTGAAAATACCTAATTTCAACTTTTTTTAATGATTCCAAAAGCTTTCTTTCAGAAATGCATGCCGTGGAACAGTCCAAAATTACACGGTTATGCTATTTTGATCTTGTTTCATTTCCATGGAAAAAATACTCTTTAAAAGTTAATGCTAAAGCTTTACTGGCACTGACTTGCCACTTTCCAGCACTAAAACTGGAATACATCATTTCAGACCACACCATAAAAGGATGCAAAACCCTTTTATATATTGTAATATATGTCACTGCTCACTGATTAATACTGCAGTTCTGAGACACATTAGCAAATTCACAGGTTATGAAAACAGCATCAAGAGTAATTTCAAATAATCAATCGTAATATTGTTAAAATGTATGTATCTAAAAATAAATATTACCTAAGAACACGAATCTTCCCTTAATCTGATGGATGCTCAGGGCAAGATCTATTGACTTCAAACCATTCATCTATGCAGCTGTCGGATAGAAGACAAAAATGAAAGCAATTAACATGAATATCCCAGTAACTCCCAGTAAGGAATGCATATTAACTGGTTTCTCATGATTTCCATGTGCAGTGGGATTTTACATTAACAAAGAAAAACACGTATATACACACATGCCTGTCCACACCCTACATCTTTATATGTTCACAAACAAAAAAATGTTAAAATCTGTTAGGAAAGCCTTTCACAAATTGTTAGCCAGCTTTTGTACACAGGTGACTTTACTACTAACACTGTCATCTCGTTACACCAGGCACTGACATTGTACATACCGTAATTACAGGCAGCAGTGAAAACTATTATGAAACAGGTTTAAAAAGCACTCCCACTTAAGCCTAATGGCATTAGACAAGGCTGTTATTACAAAAGTATCTGCAATCCAAGCTCGATAGCTGTGATGTCCACTTCTACAGAAGTGATTTTGGCCTTTTTTTCATCGAAGTGGGAGAAGCTAATTGGGGAAAAGTGCAGACAGAAGTCACTTAAAGATCACCTTTAGTGTGGTTACTGCTTGGCTTTTGTTTGTGTGAAGTGCAAAAAGCAACCAAGTTTTAGTGAAGTTACTCTACAAATGCAACTTTTAGGACTTCTGGGTATGCACCATAAGGAATACTTGCCCTTTATGATATATGCAGAGGCAAGGCAGCCGTGCTATAGTATCTCCCTGCTGCAGCTCTTCCAGGCATATTGCACACTCCCCAGTATCTTTACTCAGCACGTCCTCTGAAGAAAGAGAACAAAGTTGAACAGTCAAAAAGCAGGCTACCACAAAGCAAAACATTCTCTGTTCAGAACATCAAGGGCAGCTACAGAAGATAGTTCTTGTCCTGCAGAAGGAGCTGTCAAGGTGAGTTTGGGTCATGCATGCCATATGACAGAAGATTCCTGATGAGAGACATCTCAACAGCTCAAACTAAAATATGATTATGGTTCAGTATCTTGCTTGAACACAGCCATAGCTCAAAATGAAGTCCTGCAGGAAGACAACCACACAGAGGGGATGGGTAGCCACAATCAGCAGTCAGTAATCCTTGGGGGTTTGTACACTCCCAGCAGATGGACATCCCATCACAGACTGCTCTGATCCAACTTGGGAAACCTGAGCTCTGAGCCAGGCAGCTGCTACATATGCAAGCTGTGCTGTTGACCCCAGGAGCTTAACACTGGGAAAAGTTGGTACCATCATCCAGATGGCAACTACTGACTCCTGGACTTTGAGGCTTCATTCTGGGGGGGTTTGCTTAGCCAGCCCCTCCTCCCCACATTCAGCTGTCTTGATGGAGGCTAAGTCCAAGCCTGAAGATAATATTTCTCCAGACAAGACACTGCAATTAATTAACTATTATCTTCCCCCTTCTAAACACTTGGCCTATCATTTGCTTTCTTCTGCTCTCCTACTCATTTCTCTTCTATACATCTGCCTTTCTCTAATTTTAGCAAGCCACTCCAGGACTTGTATTCCATACCTTCGACCTGAAGGTTCTAAATTCCTGGAATTACTTTTTTTTTTTGCATCATTACCAAATCCCATAAGAAATCAGGAGACAGTATGTTACTGAGAACGCATAAGAATTGGCTTTCAAATAGAAGTTTCTGGGAAAATGCATTATTTTTAATAAAAACCTTCTCTCTTGGACACTGCTCTTAGCCAGAATATAGGATGCAGAATTCAGTCTTGGCACAATACAAAGCAGGAGATGACAGAAGGCCCTGTTTACCAGAAGCAGGTTAGAAGCAACCTCACACAGTGCACAGCTATCAGAAAGGGACCACGCAGCAACCAGCAACCCCTGGCAGGTCAGAAAGGTGCACACTTGGCTGAAGTAGAGACCACGTGTTCAAATTTCTGCAGCTTAACCAGAAGGAGCCTAAAGGGATTCTTTATGAGGATTGTGATTTCCTGGTACGACTGAGAAACCATCAGTTCCAAGCTATGCTCTCAGGTGTCTCCTGTACTCATCACTATAGCATTCCAAATACACAGAATGACAAGCATACAACTAAAAAGCCATCACTGTGGGAATAAGTAAGAGGTATGAAATCAGATCGACTGTGTTTCTCTAGGAATTGTAGCAATTTACCTTACAGGTGCTTGGGTTTCTAGAAGAGTACTCATTCCACGCTAATCTTCGTTGGTTATGCTTGAAAATACTGCGTGATGCCATGTGCCTTCATGGGCATCTTCATGGGCATATGTGAAATATCCCTAACAAACTAATCAACAGTACACACACTAAGTGAAGAAAACTAAAACAAAAATGTATTTCACAAATGGTAATATTATTTGTAGGCATCACTTTAAGAAATTGCTTCTGTTTTTGTAAGTATTACAAGACATACGGATTCAAGAACTGAAGAAGGAAAGCCATCTAAGACAATGCAAAAGCTCTTAAAAATTCATCTGTTGTTAGAGAATCCCAACCTGCCCAGAAGAGCACCGTCTTAACAAATCCTTCCTTGACCATTATACTGTATGTGGACATATTTTAATATCTGACATCAGGAGATAAAGACTGTAGAGACAGCCCAGTCCTGTTACAACAGAGATACGAATCTCCACCTGACGCTCTCAGGCACTATCTTAGAACACCTGTTTGCACAAATACTCAGCCAAAAGTCCTACCAGCAGATCCACTCTTCCCACAGCTGGGTCACTGCAAGAAGCGCCATTAATGCTGCAAGCATATATCATACACACACTTAATAAAAGTCAAGTTCCCAAAGTTATTTTTAATCAGATTAGCAACTGGTACCCAAAACAAAATGGCACTGAGGTTCCTTCAGTGGATTAATTCCCAGGCTCCCTTCCCCAGCACAATCAAGAAGGAAGCATTTAGTCAAGCCTTGATGACAAAAATTAAAATGCTGTTCAGTAAAGATATAATAAAAGAAAACATTTCTGTGAACTGCTTTCACATTAGTCCCTACTGTACACGATCTGGCTTGTCACATGTTCCACACACAGACTTTACAACGCACGGCTCAGAACTCCTGCTGAGTGTTTTAACACGACTTTGCAGCTTTTAGCTAACACCAGGGCTAGATGCCAATTTAAACATCTTTATCTCCCACCAGCCCTGGTGTGTCTGAGACTCTCCTTGTCTCCTCCAGGGCTCCCATAATCTCTCTCCCCAGGTGCTGTTGCTCTCCTCCTAGCCAATACCAGTCCTACCAACCAAGCCCCAGTCCCTGCCTTCAGCCAGGGCTTTCCCCCTGCAATGCAATGGTCAGTGCAGGCCATACATGGCCCAGCCATGCCATGAGCAGTTGCTGTGAAGGCTGACACGATTGCAGAATGTGGCCTTGGGAACACAGAAAAGATTCTGTTAGCAGGATTCAATACTTTCATTCCTCTGAAACGACACAGTTAGCACTTTGCACTTCTTCCATTACCTTGTGAAGGCTAACAGGCTCTCATGCAAGAGGAAAGATAAGTACTGAAGAAACTTAATACCTAACTGTTATAAATGCCCAAGCACAATTTGGTACTGCTCACCAAAAGCAAAGAAGAGAGGATGTAACATAAGGGGAAGAAAAAAACACTATTGAGATTTCAACAATACTGTATTTATAACGTTCTTATCAGTGTATTACCTCAATGGAAGTGGGAAGCGGAAATAAGCAGAGGCCCCACTTTTCCATTTCGCCCACACATGCATACACGCATACAGACACTCACCACACGCCCACATCCATCTGCCTTGCACCAAACAGAAGGTAAACACTCCTCCACCTTCCAGCCATTGCAACAAGCACTTAGTGGCTGAAGACTGGTGTAAAGATGAACTCTGGCAGAAGAGCAGAGTATTTTCCTCCTGCGTCTGCACAGATACTTTTTCCTCCTCTATCCCTGCTTAACACTACATTTACATACATTTACATACTAATATTTTAACTTCTGGACGTCTGTAGTTTTTTTCCTCCTAGAATCCTGCTTCAGTCTCTACTGAAAAATAAACTGTATTTCATTTGTGCATTTGTAGCAAGATAAGTGGTAATGAAATAAAATACAATCATCCTGGCAGTGTCGCATATCAACTTGATTAAATACATTTTCTGGAACTTTTTAGAAATATATACAATAACTATCAGCTGCCAACTCAGCCCTGGTTAAAGTTATAGGTAATGCCTGTGAAGAAACAGCCTGCCTTTAAACTGAGGACTGTGAAAGTGCATACAATACATACCCTATGGATGAAGTCATTACAATCTGTGTTCCTGCTATTGTTTTCAAATACAGAGACTCAGGAAATAATGTAGCAAATCACAAAGGCTGCATTTGGATAACTATCACCTTAGAGCTGCAGTATTTCATTGCTCTCTAGGCATCCTGAGCAACACAAATCAGAAAGATCTTCCATTTAATCCCATGCGACTTTTAAATACAGACTTTTTTTCTAAGACTTACAAACTGAAATTTCCATGGAAGCTGCCACTGCAGCTAGCTTACCAGTGAAGAAGACACTGAAGTGCATTCTACCATGAATATGACTGACTTTTTGAAATACACCTTCTGAACAGTAACTTATCAGCATGAAAACTGGCAAAACAAGTGCCTTAAGTTGAAAAACACTGATCAAATTAAGTAGTACACGTTACCATGTGTGTGTTATATATTCATTCATTTTCATTACTGATTACTTAGTTAAGTACTAAATATTTATTTTTTATAAAGGTATACATCAAGCTTTAGATGACTGGAATCAATGTTTTTCACTTGTTTTGCCCAAAATACTTTACTCTGCTTTTTCTTTATGCAGGGCATGTTTCTTTGAGGCAGCTCAGGAACTCTTTACAACTTCATATTGTCTGCAAACAAAAGCCTTCTCTCCTAGTCCATCCCCAGCACTGTTAAAGCCAGATGTTTCTTTGACTTGCTCCCTGTACTTCGATACTGTGGTGGGA